GTCGTAGTAGTAGTAGTAGTAGTAGTAGTAGTAGTAGTAGTATTAGTAGTAGTAGTAGCAGTAGCAGTAGCAGTAGTAGGAGCAGCAGCAGCAGCAGCAGCAGCAGCAGCAGCAGTAGAAGTAGGTGGCTTGGGATCTCGGTATCATGGCGGCCTTATATGTACATAAACACATATCCACACTTTTCTGTGTGATCTGATGCGATATGTATGCATGCATGTAGTATGCATATACTATCTAGTTGCTTATTTGGCGGGTGGTATTATTCAGTCGAGCTGATTACACTCGATGCATCAACATCAACCCTGCGGGTATCTGGTCCCTCGCAGCGCACTTCGAGCCAAGCCTCTGAAAATACGCGGTAGGCCTGCACATCTGGGTTCCGGCCCTGCAGGGACTGGCTGATCGTTGAAGTCTTCCGCACAGCACATCCACCATCTGGGCTCCCGGACTTGCTGTTGAACGTACTAGTGACAAGAACATCATCTCTTCCCTGCAGGTTTTTTCCTATCTCGCACCACCGAAGACACGAGGAGACTGTGACATATCCCCAACCCCTGCAAGTTGGAGCCCACTGAAACAACCTGGTGAAAGGTGGAGCTTGAGAACGCTTGCGCCACTGAACTACATGTTTGTCCAATGGCCCTATGCCCCCGTGCAGAATCCTGCACAGTGTATGAATGACTCTGGGCTATGGTGAACACTGGAGCTTTGGACGAAGCTCCTGTGACTCCTGTGCTCGTTCCCCGATTTACATTCCATCTCAGCAGCCGGCACCGGTGGAACCCTGTGTTGGCCTCTGCTGGGCCCTTCAGTGCTGGCCTCACGCATGTTCTGCAGCCCAGAGGTCTGCAGGACCAATTCCGCCAAGCAACGAAGTTCCTGCGAGTTTAGGCCAACAGTCAAGCTCCATCGGGGAATCTCTCAGGTCTGGCCAAAAGCGGGTTGAAAGGCTCCACCGGGATGCTTGAGCAGTGGGTGCTAAGGCTGCATGTGACATGACTGGGATTTGAGATTTGGACCGACTAGCGCCCATGCAGTCTGCAACCGTCAGCAGTGGTCCCGTGAACATGTGCAACCAGCTCCCATGTTGCAATTGAAAAAGTTGCAAAATGACACCTCGCAGAAAGGATGTTGGACCAAGGAAAAGCAACGTAAGGGAGGGAGCCGCCAACATGTTCTGAAAGGTGTCGTGGAGAAGACATATACCCCTCCTGTTTACTAATGTGGGTAATGTGAGACAGCTCGTCTCGCAGTGAGTGTCTGCACACCCATGCGAGAACATGCGAGAATCAAGATCTCTTGTGTCCCTGCTCCTGGAACTGTTCTGGGCTGTCTTTCCGCAGCTCGTCTGGCGTGGCTCCGCGAAACCAGTAGTGGGCAATCCAATCCTTCCATGAGAAGAGGAACGGGGCAAATTCCCACGTGGAAAGCCTATTCACCTCAAGACTCATTCACCCATACAAAGGCAGACTCTAACACGAGCACAGCCGAAGGGCCTGCACGTTGTCACGCTGCAACCAGTTCAGGATGTCATCTGCATCCCCCCGGCCCTGGCCATGGAAAAAGGTGGCAAGCTCGTGCCATCGAAGCCTGCGCGTGCAAACAGGTCTTCACACGGTTCAGGCGTGGGATTCAGCTCCTTCGGACAGACACGGAGTCGGATTCTGGAGAGCAGTGGGATCTGAAAACCACATGGAAGCTGGAGCGAGCAATGATGCATCATCGCCTCCGCTTGCATCTGCGACACAGTCTGTAGCATAAGCTGGGGAGCACCATCTGTTTCGATGTCGGCCACCACAACATGATATAAATGCAATCAGTTTCTCCCTGCGCATCTGAATCTGCCACCGGTAAGAACACTTGACAAAACTTTTGGCAAATACAGGCGGATGGTTTTTTTCCTAAGTCTGGCGGCGCACTCGTTTGGGCTGATGTCTAGGGCCTTCTCTTGCTAGTGATAGTGTTAAGCTATTGGCAGTGGTCTTTGCACGTTGTGCCCACTTGTACATATGTATATATATATATATACTACAAAATAAAATAAATCTATACTGTATATACTATGTGATAAGTATATATATATATACTATATATATATATACATATACTAAATATACTATATATACTATATATACTATATACACTCTATATATATATATTGTATATACTCTATATACTAGATATAGTACATATATACTATATATACTCTATACACTATGTATACATACTATATATATACTATATATATACTATATATATTTACTATATACATATACTATATATATACACTATATATATATATACTATATATATAGTATATATATAGTATATATATATACTATATATA